TCCGGATTGGCGCGTAAGCAGCATGAATCAGATTAGTTTGAGGCCAGGATCGCGCATTTTCTGGTGCATTCCAGTCTGGAAAAGGAATTGATCCAAAATTTGGCGGGGGGCCGTCGGTCAATTTGTTCCCCACATCCTGAGTTGGGTTCTTGTTTTCCCAGAACATCTTCTCCTCCACCATACCATGCCACTCCATACCATACCTTACCATGCCATGCCATGCATCCACCATACCATACCATACCATGCCTTTCCTCACACCATGTTATTTATCAGGTTTCGTGCCCCTTCCCACCCCTCCAGGGAGGCCCCGCCTGAGCGAGCAGGGTATTCGCACACCATGTTATTTATCAGGTTTCGCGCCCCTCCCACCCCTCCAGGGAGGCCCCGTCTGAGCGAGCAGGGTATTCGCACGCCGTGTTATTTATCAGGTTTCGTGCCCCCCCCCCCACCTTTCCAAGGAGGCCCCGCCTGAGCGAGCAGGGCATTCGCACACCATGTTATGCATCAGGTTTTGTGCCCCCTCCACCCCTCCAGGGAGGCCCCGCCTGAGCGAGCAGGATATTCGCACACCATGTTATTTATCAGGTTTCGCGCCCCTCCCACCCCTCCACGGAGGCCCCGCCTGAGCGGGCAGGGTATTCGCACACCGTGATATTTATCAGGTTTCGTGCCCCTCCCACCCCTCCAGGGAGGGCCCGCCTGAGCGGGCAGGGCATTCGCACACCATGTTATTTATGAGGTTTCGTGCTCCTCCCACCCTTCCAGAGGGGCCCCGCCTGAGCGAGCAGGGTATTCGCATGCCATGTTATTTATAAGTTTTCGTGCCCCTCCCACCCCTCCAGGAAGGCCCCGCCTGAGCGAGCAGGGTATTCGCACACCATATTATGTATCAGGTTTCGTGCCCCTCCCACCTCTCCAGGGAGGCCCCGCATGCGCGAGCAGGGTATTCGCACACCATGTTATTTATCAGGTTTCGTGGCTTTCCAACCCCTCCAGGGAGGCCCCGCCTGAGCGAGCAGGGAATTCGCACACCATGATATTTATCAGGTTTCCTGCCCCACCCATCCCTCCAGGGAGGTCCCGCCTGAGCGAGCAGGGCATTCGCACACCATGCTATTTATCAGGTTTCGCGCCCCTCCCACCCCTCCAGGGAGGCCCCACCAGAGCGGGCAGGGTATTCGCACACCGTGATATTTATCAGGTTTCATGCCCATCCCACCCCTCCAGGGAGGCCCCGCCTGAGCGAGCAGGGTATTCGCACACCATGTTATTTATAAGTTTTCGTGCCTCTTCCACCCCTCCAGGGAGGCCCAGCCTGAGCAAGCAAGGTATTCGCACACCATGTTATTTATCAGGTTTCGCGCCCCTCCCACCCCTCCAGGGAGGCCCCGCCTGAGCGGGCAGGGTATTCGCACACCGTGTTATTTATATGGTTTCGCGCCCCTCCCACCCCTCCACGGAGGCCCCACCAGAGCGGGCAGGGTATTCGCACACCATGGTATTTATTAGGTTTCGTGCCCCTCCACCCCTCCAGGGAGGCCCCACCAGAGCGGGCAGGGCATCCGCGCACCATGTTATTCATCAGGTTTCGCGCCCCTCCCAACATTCCAGGGAGGCCCCGCCAGAGCGGGCAGGGTATTCGCACACCGTGATATTTATCAGGTTTCATGCCCCTCCCACCCCTCCAGGGAGGCCCCACCAGAGCGGGCAGGGCATTCGCACACCATATTATTTATCAGGTTTCGTGCCCCTCCCGCCACTCCAGGGAGGCCCCGCCAGAGCGGGCAGGGCATCCGCACGCCATAGTTTATTATCAGGTTTCGTGCCCCCCCCCACCCTTCCAGGGAGGCCCCACCAGAGCGGGCAGGGTATTCGCACACCATGTTATTTATCAGGTTTCGCGCCCCTCCCACCCCTCCAGGGAGGCCCCGCCTGAGCGGGCAGGGTATTCGCACACCATATTATTTATCGGGTTTCGTGCCCCTTCCACCCCTCCAGGGAGGCCCCACCAGAGCGGGCAGGGTATTCGCACACCATATTATTCATCAGGTTTCGTGCCCCTCCCACCCCTCCAGGGAGGCCCCACCAGAGCGCAGACAAGAAGTAATGTAACCCCGTAGCATCTTTATGTGGGGAACCCCGTTAACATAATATTTGGATTCCAGATTGGATTCTCTATCGAGAAAACACGAAATCTGAACAACATTTTGCGGGGGGGGGGAGGTTCCGCGCATTTCTTGCAAATTTCCACTCTGAGCAAGAATATAGCATAGTTCCGCTGGGGGCGGGGGCCAGTTCATGTCTCATTGGGCGCCAGTAGTGAAACGAAATACGTTTCACACTCTGACACAATATGTTGAGCATCGCGCCGCCGATGGGGCCCCGCGCACTTATCATGCGTCTTGCGTGATGGCCGTTGACGCGGGACTTGCGAGCATGTTGCCCGTGGCCGCTGCTTCGCCGACGTCGGAGACGGCGCGGTTCAAGCCGCGGGGTCGCGACATGCCGCGCCAACAGAGACGACTGCAACGCCGACGGGGCATTTAGTTTTTTTCAAGCGTCGCGCAGGAAACGGTTCGCACGCCGCCGCGTCAACATAATGTCCCGAGGGGCAAGTGCTGCTTATGCGGTTGCCCGAACCGCGCGGCTCGGGGATCTACGCGCGAGGCGGAGCTTGTCGACAGAGAGTCTCGGGCTCGCGCGCGCGCGAAGTAGCGGGGGCAGTGGCGGTCGCGTTCGGCACAAGGCCTTCGCGAACCCCGGCGAGGAGGTAGGCGCCGCGCCCCAGAGCACTCTCGTCGCAGAATCTGTCGGCGAGAGCGCGTGCTGCCACGGACTGATCGAACGCGGGCGCAGCGGTTTTCCTGCGCGCCCACGCAGGTTCAGGTCTTCGCTCTGGATCCCCGGATGAGGCCCAGATCCCTTCGACCCACACTTGCATCGGCGTCTACCGCGCGCGTTTGCTGTCTAGGGCCTGGATCGGGTCGGGGCCCACAGGCCAACGGTGATCGGGTGACGCCGCTCTCTTTTCCACCATCAGCTTGTAGTTCGTATTCTTCTTGACGGCATTAACGACATTCGTCTTGTTCCGTAGGGTCTGCTCGTCGCCTATGCGTTCGGCATGCTCGCGCGCCTGCGGCGTCGGAGGGTGCGATCGGCGTCTCTGAAGCTGGGTTGCGGGGCCCCCAGGGGGGACTTCCTGCGTCAACTGTCCTGATGAAGTACGCGCGGGTAGAGACCGCGGTGAGGGCACCGCCCCCTTGCGCACCCTGTGGGCGCGGAGAAAGTGCTGCGCCTGCCACGCCCCGCGGGTTTCTGACGGATGGAGACCACGGTGAAGGACCGCCCGCTGCGCACCCCCCGTGGCGTCGAGAAAATGCAGCGCCTGCCACGCCCTGCGGCCCTTTGGCGGATAGAGACCGCGATGAGGGACCACCCGTTGCGCGCCCTCTTTGGTTTGAGAAAGTGCCGCGCCTGCAACGAAACGCGGCCCTGTCTCGGATAGAGACCGCGGTGAGGGACCACCCGCTGCGCACCCCTTGCGGTGTCGAGAAAGTGCCACGCCTGCCGCGCCACGCGACCTTGGTACGGATACAGACCGCGGTGAGGGACCACCCCCTACGCACCCCCTGTGGCGTCGAGAGAGTGCCACGCCTGCCACGCCTTGCGACCTTGAGACGGATAGAGACCACAGTGAGGGACCACCCCTTTGCGCACCCCCTGCGGCATCGAGAGAGTGTCCTGCATGCCGCGCCGATCGACCCTGAGACGGACAGAGACCACGGTGAGGGACCACCTGCGCACCCTCTATGGCTTCCAGAAGCTGCCACGCCTGCCACGCCTTGCGACCTTGAGACGGATAGAGACCACGGTGAGGGACCACCCCCTGCGCACCCTCTACGGCGTCGAGAAAGTGCCACGCCTTGCGGCCCTGATCCAGATAGAGACCACGGTGAGGGACCACCCGCTGCGCACCCCCTATGGCGTCGCGGAAGTGCCACGCCTGCCACGCCTTGCGACCCTGAGACGGATAAAGACCGCGGTGAGGGATCACCTTGCGCGCACCCTCCATGGCGTCGAGAAACTGCCACGCCTGCCACGCCTTGCGACCCTGAGACGGATAGAGACCGCGGTGACGAACCACCCCCTGCGCACCCCGTAGGGTGTCGAGCAAGTGTCACGCCTGGCACGCTTTGCGACCCTGAGACGGACAGAGATTACGGTGAGGGACCACCTTCTGCGCACCTCTATGGTGTCGAGACGGACAGAGACCAGACCACGGTGAGGGACCACCTTCTGCGCACCTCTATGGTGCAGAGAAAATGCCACGCCTTATATGTTGGGTGGTACGCGCGTTATGGCATGATGCGTGTGCGGCTGTATCTGGACGTGTATCATGTGGGTGCCCAGTCTGTTGACGCGTCTCATGGATGCGCCATGCAAGGGAGGAAAGGCGTTTGCGACGTGGCACGAAGTGCCACGCCTGCCACGCTTTGCGAGCCAGAAACGGATAGGGAGACCACCCGCAGCACAGCCCTCTGTGGCGTCGAGGAAGTGCCGCGCCTGCCACGCTATGCGAGCCCGAAACGGACAGGAACACCACCCCAAGCGCACCCTTTTGTGATGTCGAAACAATGCCACGTTTGCCACGGCGGTTTTGTAAACGCGAGCGAGACGCAGAAGCAGCAGGGCGGGGGGGGGGAGGGGAAACGCGTGTGCGACGCGGCAGGGAAGAAAACCATAACTCCACGAAGCATGTGGGGAACAACATATGTTTGCTTATTATTGGAGGTTGGGATCGGCGCATGAGTTTTTCAACCCATATTCAAAAACGAATATAGCATACCTATAGGACCACCCTGCGGGTGATAAGGAGGTTGTGGGGGGGGGTGGAGGGAGGGGGGTGGCCCATGACGACAATTGTGATGAACGTGGTGCTGATGGGCGATGATGGCGTGGATGACGTGGCCGAACACATCTGCAACGAGGCGCCGGACCTCCGCCCGCGCGCGAGAGCCTGCGGCGCCGGCGGGACCTGGGCCCTCGTCATCACAGTCCCCGTCCGAGATGACTTCCCGCAGTCGGTTCCCGATCGCATACCCGAAGTCACAGGCGACGGCTTCAGTCCGGCCGTGCTCCACCCACCTGGCGAAATATGTCGGAGTGACCGGAGGGACATGGGAGGCGTCGCTGTCGGCCTCGCGCGTCGCGCCCACCTCCACGTCGTCGCCGGCCCACGCCTCGGCGGCGTCGTCCCGCCACTCAATTTCCGCATAATGCGGGTTGTTCGCCTTCAACCACAAAAAGGCAGCCTTGAGTCAAGGGCCTTGAGTTTGGAGATGTCGACTTTGAATAAGGCCCGGCCCGCCGACTTTTCCTCGGCGCCGGCAGAGCCTAGCGCACGGGGGCGAACGTGCACCACAGGCATGTCCGCAGGCATGACCGGCAGATTCTTGAGGAACTTGCTGACCTTCCGGCGAAAGTTGCAGATGTGGCCGACGTGCGCCAACTGACCCGCGCGAGGGATGGTGTGCACCTGCACGAGCGGATGCGCCAATGCCAATGCCAATTTCCTCGTGGTCCGAAAGCGCGGCCACCGGGTGCGCGAACTCGCCCGCGCTGAAACCGAGCACTCTGGAGAACGCCTCCTCGCTGGCAGGGCCTGGCGGGGGAACACCATCGCAGCGCTCATGCGCGATCGCGGGCCCATCACCCCTCGGGGCGCACCAAACCGGGCCCGCCGCGAAGTCACGCATGCGCATCTCGCCGGCGGGGGGCGGGGGAACATGATCTTCGCCGACGTGCATGTGACATCCACCGCAAATCGTGATGATCCTCTTTCTTTCTGGGTCGTGCAGACTGCGGGCGATGCTCTCGCACCCCCCTGAACGGCAGTTTGCCGCCAGGAAGCACTGCGCTACCTCCGCCGACCCGGCTGCTTCCAGGCGCCACTGGTTCACGTGGCTTTTCTTGCCGGCCCTCGTGATGACGCTCGCGCCCGGGTCAAACCACGGAGCTTGCTGCGCCCTGAGTCCCTGGTGCGCGCGCGAGAACTCGTACTCGGCAGGCAAATCACACCACGCACGCCAGCGCACCACGCACGTTGCCCACTGCACGTCTTCCAGGCGCCCGCGCATTTGCGAGGTCAGCCTCCGCTGGTGTTCTTGGTCCAGCCCCGCGTAACACGGCGGTAAGTGACTGGGGCCGTCCTGCTGGCAGAGCCTGGCAGATTCTTCCGCCGTCCGCTTCCAGCTGCCCTCCCTGCCGAGGACACCAGCACGCTCTGCCCTGGCGCTCTTCGGCATCACCGGCCTCCGATTCGCGCGAGGCGCCTCCCTGCGGGATTTCAACACTCGATGATTGCGCTTTGCTCTCTCTGCGAAGTCCTATTGATGTCGTTTCTTGCCCCGCTTGGCAGCCGCCAGTTTCTTACGGGATGCGCGCTGAGAGCGCTTGTCGCGGATCTTGTCGCGGATGCGATCCTCGCGGAGCGCGCGCTGAGCGCGCCGCTTCGCAACTTTCTTCTGGCGCGCTGTCTGCGCAGACAACCAGGCTGGTTTGCGCAGCCACAATGGTTTGCGAACGGCCCTCGGTCGTTCGCGCGGCTTCGCTGGGTTTGGATCCACTGCGGATGCGCTGTCAGAGACTGGCGCGTCGCCTGCGTCTCGGCCCGGGGCACCTGGGGCCACGGCAGGCTGGAAAAAGGAAGCTGCCCCAACCTGCCCTTTGAGGGCGCGACGACAGGCCGAGCGGAGAAGCCTCGTGGACTGTTGGGCGCCCCTAGCTGCGACCCCCAACGAGGCCGCCAGCGCGCGCGACTCTTTCTTGTTCATGTTCTGCACGTCGGTCGAGGTGATATGGGCCGCCCCCGCAGCCGGGTTCTGCGTCGCGGTGGCGGAGACGGGCGATGAAACCTGAGCCTGGCTCGAGCTGGCAGCGCGAGACCCCGGCGCGGGCTCGCGTGAAGCTGCTGGCGCCGCCAGGTCGGAGCTGGCAGCGCCTGGCTCACTCGCGCCCGCCTGGGAGTGTTGTCGCTGCGGGGCCTCCGGGAGTTCGCGACAGCGCGCCGCCCGGAGCGCCTCCGAGCTCTTTGCGTTCTCCCGAGTCCCGACTCCCAGCGAGGTCGCCAGTGCACGCAGCTCATTCCGGTTTATGTTCCGCGCGTCGCTGGAGGTGACATCGGCCGCCCCCCACGACCGGTTTCCGTGCGACCGTGGCGGGGGCGGGCGGCGCTACCTGCGCCTGGCTCAAACTGGAAGAGCCGGACCCGCCCGCGCGCGCACCTGGCGCCCCCACCGACGCGGGCCCGCGTGAAACGGACGGCGCGGCCAGGCCGGAGCTGGCAGCGCTTGGCTCGCCCACGCGCGCTTGGGCCCGCGCCGACGCGGACCCATGCGATGCGGGCGGCGCCGCCAGTTCGGAGTTGGCAGCGCCTGGCTCGCCCGCGCGCGCCGGGGGGGGCTGCCGCTGAGCGGCCTCCCGCAGCTTGCAATTCTCGCTCGCGTCTTTGACTGCGCGCCACTGCGTCGGCGCCGCCGGCTTCCCGGCGGGGGCTCCAAGACTGGCGGCGTGCTTCATGGGCCCCGCCTTCTTCGTGTCATCCACGCGGCCCCCCATCTCGTGGATGGCCCAGCCGCAGAAATGCGCGAGGAGGGCGCCCTGGGGGGGGTGGCGCGACCGCAGTGGGTGCCTTGAGCTGGAGGAGGAGGACAGCGAGGGGCAGGAGAAGGAGGAGGAGGAGGAGGAGGAGGGGGCGGAGGAGGAGGAGAAGGAGGAGGAGGAGGAGGACGAGGCGGATGAAGATGAAGACGGTCATGATGATGATGGTGATGGTGGTGATGACGATGAGGAGATGCTGATAGATGCAAATTCACTCAATCAGAGGAACTGGAAGGACGGCGCGGCCAATAACTTACGGCATTTAGTTGTCCTCTAACGACTAAGTGGTCCAAGAACGGCCCCCCCCGGCCCATGATGCCAAATGAAAGTGGCCGCCATCCTCTGAGGGGGGAGGGGAGAGGGAGGGGGGCGATGTATCTCAATCGAGCCTTCGTCCTAGCAAAAAGGCCACGAGCTGACCGACTTGCGTCGCATGGCCTGAGCCCTTGAGCCGAACTACAGGTAATTCGGTTAGAAAAAACATCAACATCAAAAAATGATGGATACGAGGAGGAGAAGCAAGATAATGTGTCCCATGATGAGCAATCATGATGGAGTCGCATGATGAACAACCATGATGAGCAAACGGCGGGACGAGGATGGGCAACCATGATGAGCAACCGTGATGGGCAAGCGTGATGGGCAACCAGCGGGACAATGATGAGCAACCATGATGAGCAACTGGCGGGACAATGATGAGCGACCATGATGAGCAACCATGATGAGCAACCATGATGATCAACCGGCGGGACAATCATGAGCAACCATGATGAGCAACCGGCGGGACAATGATGAGCAACCATGGTGAGCAACCATGATGAGCAACCATGATGAGCAACCGGCGGGACAATGATGAGCAACCAGGATGAGCAACCGGCGGGACACTGATGAACAACTATGATGAGCAACCATGATGAGCAACCATGATGAGCAACCGGCGGGCAACCGACGGGACAATGTGGGCTACCGCTTGACAAGGTCGGGGCGGGGAAACATTTGTGTTGGCGGACCCCTTAGCGACAGCAGGGTGGATTCATCTCGCTGGCCCACGCAGCTTCGCCTCGCCCGCACGCGCGGCACGAACACGAACTCGAAACTCGATTTCCCGGCGGGGGGATTCCGTTACACTGCGATCTCACCCCCCAACTTCCGATTGAACAGGATGCTGGGGTCGGCGCGTTTACAATCAAATTCCCAGTCAAACACCAAGTATCACATAAGGATTGTCCTCCCTCCTCCTCCTCCTCCTCGCCCCTTCTCCTGTCGTGCGGGACGTGTGCGGTGGCGTTTGGCCTTCTCGTGCAGCGCGTGCACAGTAAAATCTTTGCGAGCGCACCGGTGCAATTTGGCCCGAGCCCCGAGGTTGCCGGGCGTGTGCGGTCGGGTCCGCACTTGGTTGCTTTTCATGGAAAGAAAAAGTTGGAGGTTGGGATCGGTACAAGTCCATTGAACCCCGACGGAGGAAAAACAGTTCGAATCGCAACGGATCCTCTGGAACCCTTCTAGACTCCCGCAGGACCTCTTCAAGAACTCTCTGGAAACATTCAGGATTCATCCGGATTTCCCCGCCATCTTCAGGATCTCTTCTGGCATCATCAGGAATCCGCTGGGAGTCCTCAGGGAACCGTTCGCGGCCCTTGAGGACTACTCTGGCATTATTCAGGAACCTTTCTGTGATTCCTTCAGGAATCTTCAGGGACCTTTTCAGGAGTCTTCGGGCATTCCGAAAAGTTTCCAGGAACTCAAGGATCCTTGAGGAATTATCAGGAATCTGCCACGAATCATTCGGAATCTTCCGAAATCTAAATGAGATTTTGAAGGGCCTTCAAGAATTCCCCAGAATCCTTAACATAATCTTGGTGGAATCTTTGAACAGTTCCAAGACTCCTGCATACATATTTAGGAATATTGTGGAATCCCTGAGGGATCTTCAGGACTCCCCCAGGAAAACCCACGGCCGAGAATGCGCCTTCCACGAAACGCCCATGTAGCGCCTTTCAAGCGTTTCAAGCGCTTGGAAGCTTAAGTTCGCTCGGTTGGAATCTGAACCGTTCCGGTTGCACTGCCGTCTGAATCGTCGGGATGGGATTTGAACCGTCTTGTTAGAATCTGAATTTGTCTCGTCTCGTCAGGACGCCTTTCGGGTCCGCCCGGCCTGCTCCCGCCCGCCCGTCAGGGTCCGCCCGTCCGACCTGATTTGCCAGCTAGGGCATGCCCGCCCTACCGAACCCGCCCTTAGGGCCCGCCCGCCCGATCCGACCCGCCCGTCAGGGTTCGCGCGTGCCGCCCGCCAGACCCGACCCGCCCGTTAGGGTCCGTCCAGCCGAACCGTGCGCGGTAGTGTCCAACCATTCGCTTCCATTGGGGCAGACGCGAGCATCGGCGACGTCGCCGAGAAATGTCTGGAGGGGACTGGAAGAGTTGAATATGGTTTCCTGACGGGAAGGTTCCAGGGGGGGTTTTGCGTGATGGGGGGTTTTGGTGGGGGAGTTCCTGAGGATGGGGTCCTGAGGAGGGGGCTCCTGAGCGGGGTCCTGAGGGAGGGTTGGTGAAGGATGCTCCTGAGAGGGGGGTCCTGATAGAAGCCCCGAAGAGTCCTCCAAGAGGCTGCGGCTGGCCCCAGGAGGCTCCCAAGAGGCCGCCAGTTTCGCTTTTTCCAGCGAGCACGACACATACGACACTACCTGCCCCTGTCCACTTCCCCCTGTTTTCTGTTGTCTGTTCAGGGTACTACAGATTCTTACGCGACCGACCGGACCAGTGTGCGTTGGGCGGATGCGTCTCTGTCAAATCCCGGTGCCGAATCTTCTCACTCAGTTGGCAACGGTGTATTTCGCATTGTTTCGCGCACGCACCCTTGAGCGATTCACCAGCTTGACAGGTGTGCACGGCTGATGTACCTCTATCATAGGACCTCGTCGAAGTCTTGTTCTCGAGTCTCAGGTGTAAGGTTGGTATGTGTTTAGCGTGCCTACCAGTGATTGGCTGCCCCATTGCAGGGCAAACAACAATAAATCTAGGACAAAGATATTCGTGCCTCTCGAGACATGCAGCCGGGTGTTGCCTACGGCAAGTCTCGCCATCGTGCTTGAGTCGTGGGTTATTCGCCCCTTGCCACCAGTCCCATCTCTATCGCAATGGGATATATCAGAGTCGCGTCGGTGCGTTTCGGCGCTGCCTTGGCGCATCTGAGAACATCATGCAGGGGCTGATCGGAGTCATCAGCGCATGTTGAAACTTTAGCGTTATCGAAGACGCCTACGGCGAATCACCGCCGCCCCCTGCATTTGTGGAAGCGCCTATGTGGCCGAACGTTGAGGCCAGACCTGCCAAGCTATCGGACCATGTGTTCCCCGAAATGGTTTAGAAAGCCTTCGGGGGACACGTGGGCATCTTGAAGGTCATCTTGGCCGTCTGGAGGCCGTTTTGACCCTTTCGGGCCTTCTTGGAGGACGTCTTGGAGGGCTCTTGGGCCGTCTTGGAGGCCATCTTTAGCGTCTTGGAGGCCTCCTGGGCCGTCTCGGGGGCCTCTTGGGGCCGTCTTGGGCCTCTTGGGCGATCTTTGGGAGTACTTGGGCCGTGTCGGGCCGTCGGAAGGCAGAAAAACAGCAAATGCCAACATCCTTTAACAATTCATAGGAAATTTCTAAGTTTGACCTTTTCGGGCCTTCCTGGAGGCCCTCTTGGAGGCCTCTTGGGCGATATTAGGGCCATGTTCGGCCGTCTTGGTGGGCTCTTGGCCCGTCTGACGCCGTCGGAAGCCGTTTGGGGGGACTCTGGGCCGACTTGGGGCCCTCTTGGAATGCTCCAGGGCCGTCTTGGAGGCCATCTTGGGCGTCTTAAAGGCCTCCTGGGCCGTCTTGGGGGCCTCTTGGGGCAGTCTTCGGGCCCTCTTGGGCCGTTCTGGGGCCATCTTGGAGGCCTCTTGGGCGATCTTTCGGCGATCTTTGGGGGCTCTTGGGCCGTCTCGGGCCGTCGGAAGGCCGAACAGAAGCACATGTCAAAATCCTTCCAAACACCTGTGGAACATCATGGTTTTTCGTATCTGTTCTGGCCTTCCTGGAGGCCCTCTTGGAGGCCTCTTGTGCCGTCTTGGGCCAGCTTCGAGCCAACTTCGGCCATCTTGTTGGATTCCTGGCCCGTCTGACGCCGTCGGGAGCCGTCTTGGGGGCCTCTCTGAACCGGCTTGGGGCCCTCTTGGGGCGTTTCGGGGCCGTCTTGGAGGCCATCTTGGGCTTCTTGGAGGCCTTTTGGCCCGTCTTGGGGCCCTCTTGGGGCCGTCTTGGGGGCCTCTTGGGCCGTCATGGGGCCATCTTGGAGGCCTCGTGGGTGCTCTGGGGGCGATGTTGGGGGCCCTTTGGGCCGTCGTGGACAGCGGGAAGGCTTAAAAGAAGCATATGTCACAATCAGTTTAAAAAGAACCAATGGGAAATCAATGATGTTGGCCTCGTCGGGCTCTCCTGGGGGACCTCTTGACACCCTCTTGGGCTATCTTGAGGCCATCTTGGAGCCATCTTGGCCCGTTTTGAGGCTTCTTGGACGATTTAGAAGGCATCTTGGACCCTCTTGCGCCGTCTTGGGGGACATCTTGGACCAGCTTGGGCGAACTTGGAGGCCATCCTGGGCCATCTTGGCCGTCTTGGAGGCCATCTTGGGCCAACATGGGGCAACAACGGCATCGACGGATGCGTTTGAGACCCTTCCCGGGACCCCGGCGGGACGCGCCAGAGCCCCAGGGAGCATTTTTTGGGAAAGAACCAAAAGCAAACCCGAAATCATCTAGCACGCCAGGCACCCTTGCGATGAGTCGACAGGGGGCGGCGGATCGAAGACGCCTACGGCGAATCACCGCCGCCCCCTTCCTTTTTGGAAGCGCCTATGTGGCCGAATGTTGAGGCCAGACCTGCCAAGCTATCGGACCATGTGTTCCCCGAATCGGTTTGGAAAGCCTTCGGGGAACGCGTGGGCATTTTGAAGGTCATCTTGGCCGTCTGGAGGCCATTTTGACCCTTTCGGGCCTTCTTGGAGGACGTCTTGGAGGGCTGTTGGGCCGTCTTGGAGGCCATCTTTAGCGTCTTGGAGGCCTCTTGGGCCGTCTTGGGGGCCTCTTGGGGCCGTGTCTTGGGCCTCTTGGGCGATCTTTGGGAGCACTTGGGCCGTCTCGGGCCGTCGGAAGGCAGAGAAAAAGCAAATGCCACAATCCTTCAAATACCCATGGTAAATCAATGAGTTTGGCCTTTTTGGGCCTTCCTGGAGGCCCTCTTGGAGGCCTCTTGGGCCGTCTTGGGCAATCTTAGGGCCATGTTCGGCCGTCTTGGTGGGCTCCTGGTCCGTCTGACGCCGTCGGAAGCCGTTTGGGGGGACTCTCTGGGCCGACTTGGGGCCCTCTTGGAATGCTCCAGGGCCGTCTTGGAGGCCATCTTGGGTGTCTTAAAGGCCTCCTGGGCCGTCTTGGGGGCCTCTTGGGGCCGTCTTCGGGCCCTCTTGGGCCGTTCTGGGGCCATCTTGGAGGCCTCTTGGGCGATCTTTCGGCGATCTTTGGGGGCTCTTGGGCCGTCTCGGGCCGTCGGAAGGCTGAAAAGAAGCAAATGTCGAGGACCTCTTGGAGGGCTCTTGGGCCGTCTTGAAGGCCTCTTGGCCTTTTGGACAGTCTTAGACCATCTTGAGGCCATCTTGGGCAATTTTGGGTGCATCTTGGAGCCATCTTAGCCGTCTCTGAGACCATCTTGGCCGTCTTGGAGCAACTTGGAGGCCATCCTCGGACATCTTGGCCGTCTTGGAGGCCATCTTGCGGCCGTCTGGGGCAGGACAACCGTTTGCAACGGGGTCTTCTGGGTGGCCGGCGGGACGCGCCAGAGCCCCAGGGGGAGTTCTGTTGGAAAAAGAACCAACACCAAAACCGAGAGGATTTAACACGCCAGGCACCCCTTTGCTAAAGCAAAAGGGGGCGGCGGATCCCAGTGGCTTTCGGCCCATCCCGCCACCGTGCCTGGATTGTGGGTCTGAGGCCTCTTGTATGTGCTGGGGTGTCGTGGGGCGCCTCTCGGGGGCTGGGGTGTCGTGGGGCGCCTCTCGGGGGCCTCTTGGAGGCAGGTTGAGCGCCTCTTGGGTGCCTTTGGGGGCATCGTGGGGTATCTTTTGAGCCTCTTAGAGGCCTCTTGGGCGCGTCTTGGGCGCCTCCTGGGGCCTCTTGGGGCATCTTGGCGGTCTCTTGGGGCCTCCTGGGGCCTTCTCGGGGCGCAAATATAGAATGTTCGGTTCGTGGTCCCCTGCTTGGGCCCCTCTTGGAGCCGATTTTGAAGCTCTTGGGCCATCTCGGAGCCATCGTTTGAAGCTCTAGCGCTTCTCGGGCCATCTTGGAGCCCTCTTGGGCCGTCTTGGGTCCCTCTTGGAGTCGTCTTGGGCTGTCTTGGGGCGGTCGTGGATGCTTCAAACCCTTAGTAGAATCTACGATGTTGGCCCCTTGGGGCTCTCTTGGGATGCCTCTTGGAGCTCTCTCGGGAAGCATCGGGAAGCCTCTCGACAAGGGACAGCCAAAAGACCTCACGTGGAGTCGTACTGCCCAATACACCATCACGTGGTCAACTCTCGAGCACCACTACGCCGACACGTGAACGAGCATCACGCCGACATCGACGTCAAGGACCTTTCCCCTCCCTCCCTCCCTCCCCCTCCCACACAGACGCACAAGCATGCCGAGCTCCGCGCCGACACCGACTCCAAGGACCTCTCCCCTCTCCCCCTTCCTCTATATGCATCTCGCATTGCACGTTGTGATGACACCAGATTCCTGAGGCCACGGCCTCGCCCACCCAGTCTTAGCTAGGCCCGGACGGCGTCCGCAGCGGTGGCCGCATCGTATCGTATCGTATCGTATCTTGGAGCGCTCTTGGGGCCTCTCGGAGCCCTCGTAGGCCATCTTGGAACCATCTTCGGGCGCCTTGGAGCTCTTGGCCTCGACAATGCGGATACAGCGTAATTTGCAAAGGCCGATGGTTGCGGGCACGTGAATATTGTTTAAATTACAGGGGTTTGTTGCCTCGGGGACGCAATCATTGTATGACTTACAAAGGTTTGTGGCCTCGAGAACGCGAACATTGCGTAACTTACAGGGGATTCCGGCTTCGGGGGCGCGAATCCCAAGTATGTTTACGAGTCCCACGCCCCCTTGGGAATTTAGGCAACGCGATCCAGGCGTTGTAAATGAGGCGGTTTGGGGCTCCCCCCCCCTCGCGCGGACTTCAACAATTTACAGAAGGACGCAGGAAGCAGGATTGTAACATTGGAGGCTTGAAACTGCAATTGGCGCATGGAGCAGCACAATTCGGCCTATAGCCTGGTGGCCCCACAAGGGGACCAGCGGATATGCCTAGTGGCTGTTCGTTGGAATCGCGTGGGATGCCTCTCGGGTGCTTCTTGGAGACAGTTCTGAGGTCTCTTGGGGACCGTTTTGGGCCTCTTGGGGGCCTCTTGGGGCCTCGTAGGGGCCTCGTAGGGGCCCCTTGGGGCGGAACGCTCGGATTGTCGGTTCGTGCTCCCTCTTTGGGGCCCCTTTTTGAGGCCTTATTGGGGCTTTCTTGGGCCGCTTTGTGCGCTTGTTAGGCCGTCTCGGGGCGCTCTCAGGCCGTCTTGAAGCCTTCTTGAAGGCCTCTTGGGCCGTTCTTGAATGGCCTTGGGTGCCTCTCGGGCCGTTTGGGAGCGTCAGACAGCCGAAAAGGCGAGAACGCCCCAACCCTTCAAACACGCGAGGGAAATGAATCAGTTTTGCCTTCGGGGTCCCTCTTGGGAGGACTCTTGGAGTCCTCTTGTGGCGCCTTGGAGCCGCTTGCGCCATCTTGAGGCCATCGTGGGCGTCTTCGAGCGATCGTTCGGCGAGTCAGGGCCCTCTCGGATTGTCTTGAGGGCCTCCTTGGCCGTCATGGAAGCCTTGGCGAGCCCCAGGGAGGCGCCATGGCCGCCCAGGACCCCCCTGTGAGTATGGCCGTTGTGCGCGGCGAGTTGCGACACTGAGGGGGGGGGGTCCCTTAGAAGATTTTCAGAAACCCTACCAGACAGGAGTTGATGGTTTTGTTTGCCCCCTCGCCCCTCCGCCTGCTTCTGCTGCGCGTCGCTCCTCTGCGCCTCTCCAGACGGCCCCTCTTCTGGTCGGCCGCGAGGCTGCAGATCAGTACGCCGAGATCCTCAGGCGCGCCGCCGTTGTCGTCGCCGCCGCCCCGCGCCGCCGCCGTCATCCCCGCAGTCGTCGTCGGCGTCGGCCCGAAGGGAAACGAGAAGGAAGAGGAGGAGGAGGAGGAGGAGGAGGAGGAGGAAGAGGGGGAGGGCGAAACGATTCAACAGGAGCCTGCTATCCAGAACGATAACAACGAGTTAAGGGTAACAGCGCGAGGAATTACGTGAGCTGTCAGGCGCGTCGCTTGACATGTCACGTGTATGGCACCTCGCAGTCGCGGACAATAGTGAGGGTGCGGCGGGGACGTCTGCAGTCTGCGAGGCTCTGAAGAAGTCCGCAGCAGGCGCCATTTTTTTCCAAACTATACAACGAGCCCGCCGCAGGTGGTGGGTCGCGAGGTGGTTCGCGGGTGGGCCGCGGGTGGGTCGCGGGTGGGTGGGTCGCAGGTGGGTCGTGAGTGGGTCGTGGGTGGGTCGCGGTTTGGTCGTGGGTGGATCGCGGGGGGGTCATGGGTGAGTCGCGAGTGGGTCGCGGGGTGGATCGCGGGTGGGTCGTGGGTGAGTCGCGGGTGGGTGACGGGGTGGGTCGCGGGTGGGTGACGGGGTGGGTCACGGAGGGAACGCGGGCGAGTCGCGGGCGGGTCGCGGGGCGGGTCGCGGTTGAGTCGCGGGTGGGTCGCGGGATGGGTCGCGGGTGGGTGGGCCGCGGACGGGTCAGGAAGTGGGTCGCGGTCAAGTCACGGGCCAGGTCGCGGGGAAGACGACGCCCAAAACAACAACAACAACAACAACAACAACAACAACAACAACAACAACAATCATTTTACCCGAACGCGTGGTGTTCTCCCCAGTGCCAGGGTTTTCATACGACACCAGGCAATACCCCCACTTCGTGGGGGGGCATTACAAGCTCTACCAAATATCCAAACGACTCTTCGCGACCACCCAAACCCAGCTTCCCGCCCTATGACGTTGGGACACTTCACTTCGTGGCGTGCGGACGACCGTGGCTACTACACTGGCGTGGGGTACACACCCACAGAACTTGGTCACTTATTCGGGGCGCGCATGTGCCCAGCATGGTGCAATTGTGCCATACAATACATAATACAGAGAGACGAATGTGTCCCGCATGGTATTATTTGACAGGGATGATGGCCCTGGCAGGTGCGCAACCGTTGTCGCAGAAGTTCGAAAAAGTTGCTCGCAAAAGCCCGTTTGACAGAAATGTTTAAAAAGTGTTGGGTTTCCTACGAATCCGCAAGAGCGCGCGGGATGAGATTTTGACATTTTTTTGTTGAAAAACCATTGGTTTTTTGATGTTTTTATGTTAAAATCGCTCCGAACACTAAGCTTTTGGAAGGATTTCGTCTTGCGCGCGCGAATGTCCACTTTACCTTATTTTTTGCAAGGGATTCTTGAAATTTGATTATATTAGAACAAGAAATGTCATTTTATAGTGTTTTTTGCAAGGGAAAGCGGATTACAACAAAACAACCGGATCTTGATCAACTCGAATTACCTGAGGCTTCCTCACGAAAATGATGAAAACGTGGCTGCGGCCTAGGCGCGGCGGGGGGGGCGCGCACCAGGGGGCCCAACAATAATTATTCTTTACAATTAATAATGTTCAACAACAACAACAACACCAACAACAACAACACCAGCAGCAGCAACAGCAACAGCAACATCAACAACAACAACAACAACAGCAGCAGCAGCAACAACAACAACAACAACAACACCAACAACAACAACTACTACAACAACAACAACAACAATAACATCAACACCAACAACAACAACAACAACAGCAGCAGCAACAACAACAACAACACTTTTAATGTTGTTCGCCCTTTATCTGCTCGAGTGTCCAATAACGCGTATTTCCCAAACCATCGATACCCGCCCTCTTTCGTCTTCGATCGAACCCCGTTTGGGGGGTATACCGTTCTTCCCTGCAGGGGCGGCCGCGGACCGTCGGCCTGGCCACCGGCAGCGCTGATCGGCGCGGCGGCCGCGGACCGTCGACCCGACCCCGAGAGGGACGGACAGGGGACCGACCACGACGACGACGACGACGCCGACGACGACGGCGACGACGACGACGACGACGACGAGCGAAAGCGAGAGCGAGAGAGAACGACAGCAGGGTCACAAGGACACGAAGTAGGCCACGAAGGGCGACAGCGGGGACACGAAGGGAATGCGTATGGGGCCACGACGGGCGCGAACGATCGGGGCCACGAACGGCAGATCATGCGGGGCCACAGAAGGCAACGACGGGGCCACTGAAGGTAGCAACTGGGCTACGTAGGATAGTGATGGGGCCACAAACGGCGACAGGGGGGCCACGAAGGGCATGAACATGGGACCACAACGGGCGCATACGAACGGGGGCCACGAAGGGCATACGTATATTGGGCCGCGGAGGGACGGGGCCACTGGGGGCAGCAACGGGGCCACGAAGGGCAGCGATGGGGCCACGAAGGGCGACAGCGGGGCCACGAAACGCATGCATATTGGGCCACCACGGGCGCGAACGAGCGGGGGCCACGAAGGGCATACACATATGGGGCCACGAAAGGCAGCGAGGGGGCCACGAAGGACAGCGAGGGGGCCGCGACAGGCTGCAACGGGGCCACGAAGGGCTGCGACGGGGCCACGAAAGGCAGCGAGGGGGCTACAAAGGGCTACGACGGGGCCACGAAACAAAGCGAGGGGGCCAAGAAGGGCTGCAACGGGGCCACGAAAGGCAGCGAGGGGGCTACAAAGGGCTACGACGGGGCCGCGAAGGGCAGCGAGGGGGCCAATAAGGGCTGCAACGGGGCCACGAAACAAAGCGAGGGGGGCACGAAGGGCTGCAACGGGGCCACGAAGGGCAGCGAGATCCCGATTCTTAGGTGATCTATGAGGGAGTCCTAAAAGTGAGTGCGACTCCTGGATGCCTGGGTGTCGGGAGCGCGGCGCTTAAGTAAATTATAAGAATTTCCAACGCAAGGACGCTATCCGTCAGTAAATTGCAAGCGAGTCTCCAGCGATGAAAGCGCGACTCCAGAGCGCCGGGAGAGCGATTCCTGAATAACTTGTAAAGAAGTCCCAAGCGAGAGCGCCGTTCTTGAATCAAATGTAAGGAAGTCTCGGGCGGGAGCGGGGGTCCTGGCTAAATTGTGAGGATGTCTCAGGCGGGAGCCGTTGTTGTTGTTGTAACCCGGGGGCCAACGACACAGTTTGACGTTCAAGATTTTCCCTGATAAGAAACAGGGTGCCAGCCCCGGGAAGGGCATTTCAATCGAGAAACAACAATGTGCACCGGACGGGGGGGATATTTTCCAGAAGTGAGAGTTCAACGGAAAGGCGTAGACTCCGGCCCCGGGCAGGGTTGGAGCGTCCGGTGTCACTCCCCCGGTGGGCGGGCGCACACTCCAGCCCCGTCCTGAAACGCTGTGTGACTACAATTTCTCCGGCCCCGCTGGAGGCCATCAGCGGCGGTGTCGCACCGCGGTGGGCAAACGTACACTCCGGTCCCGTGTGCACCGTCATCTGTGCTGTTCCCTCCACAGAAAACGCCACCCATGGGCTTCGGCCCCGTGCGCAGCTAAGACCCTCAGGGACCCTCACGACTCCTGACGAAGCCTAAAACTCAGACGGCAAAGACGGCGGCAGCAGACCCGACAGGAGCAGGGGGAGAGGGAGCTCCATAAAAGGTGGGAGGGAGGGAGAGGGAGGGGCAGCAGCAACACCAGCACCATCCAGGCATAATCTCGATCAAACAACACCATGCAGACCACATGCGCGCGTCCGCCGCGCTCGCATGTCGAAGTCAGTCCAAAAAGTTCGGTTTCAAAAAAAAAAACACGGGAGCGATCTTCACGGGCACTGGTATTTTGGTTGTGAAAAAAAACGAATGAATGTCACAACCGCATTTTTAATGAAGACCATGCGCGCACTTCCTCATCAACCCGTAGGGAATCCCTTACGGAATCCTCAGGGAATCCTCAGGACCATCTTAGCGGATCCTCAAAGCCCCTGACCCTCGGGAGCCCTTTCGGGAAAATTCAAAGGACCCCCTTTCGGGAATCCTCCAGAAACCCGAGGGGCCCCGCAGGAATTCCAATGGAATCCTCAGGAGACCCGCAAGGAGCCCTCCGGAACCTGAAAAGGAACCCCCAAGAATCCCGAGGATGTCGTCAGGAGCCCCTTAAGAAATCCCTGGGACCCCTTCGGAAATCCTCAGGAATCCGTAGGGGATCCCCAGGAACCCACAGGGAATCCTCAGGAACCAAGAAAAAATCCTCAGGACCCCCGAAGTAATCCCGAGGACCCCCAGAGGGGATCCGCAGGAATCCCTAGGCAACCTTCAGGGATGTTTCGGGAATCTGCAGAAAGGAACCCCATCGGGAAATGTTCCAGAACTCCTTATGGACTCCGTAGGACCCCCCAGGGCCTCCTCAGGAATCCAGAGGAATCCTAAGGAATCCCGAAGTAATCTTCAGGAACCCTTACAGGGAATCCCAAGGAATCTTCAGAGAATCCCCGGGAACCTTAGGGAATCCTCAGGAATCTTTAGAGCATCCCCAGGAGCCCCGAGGGCATCCTCAGAACCCCCTGGAAGGAGGAGGGGGGGAGGTCTTCAGGACCCCGTAGGGGATCCTCAAGAACCCCTGGAGAGCTTTCAGGAACCCCTGAGGATTCCGTAAGGGAAAAGCTCGGGAATCCGCCAGAACCCTCCCAGGAGTCATTAGGAGACCCTTAGGGAATCCTGTGGAATCCTGAGGGGCACTCTGAAAGGATCCTGAGGAATCATGGAGGATCCTAAGGAGTCCGTAGGCGCCCGGAGGAGACATGATCAATCCTGAGGACTCCTGAAGTTTCCTGAGGACTCCTTGGGAATCCTGAAGAATTCGCAGATATCCTGAAGAATCCTGAGGAGCCCAACGGAATCCTGAGAGCCCCATGGGGAGATCCTGAAAAATCATGTGGGATCCCAAGGCTTCCTGGGGGATCCTGAGGAATCCTGGGAGCTCCGGAAGGAACCTGAGGAATCCTGGAGGATCCTGAGGAATCGTCGGGGGTCCCGCGGAATGGCTCCTGAGGAATCTTGGGGAATCCCGGGGGGGTCCAAAGGAATCCTTGGGGGTCCTAGCGAGTCCGGAGGAGTCCCCAGAAATCCAAAGGAATCTTGAGGGATTCGTGGAACTCTTGGGGAAACCTCTGGAAACGCGCCAGGAATGCCGACCTTTTCTCCGGCCCTGTGGGGCACCGTGCGCTGCCGCCCCAGTGCCAGCCCCTTCTCCGGCCCCGTGAGGCAAGCCCTCGGTTGCTGGAGTTCTGCTTACTCTGAACGATAAACATTTGAATTTTGAGAGAAGAAGAGAAAGATCTCAACAACAAACAGGGGCCGGTGTCAACGCCTTACCGAACAACAACAACACCACCAACAACAACACCAACAACACCACCAACAACAACACCAGCAATAGCAGCAGCAACGGCAACAACAACAGCAACAACAGCAACAACACACACATCAAGACAAGCAGCAACAGCAATAGCAACAGCAACAACAACGAGAATTCTCACCGCGGAGTCCCACTTCAGCCGCGCACCCAGGGATAGTGAATGACCGTTCGGCCCTTTCACTCTGATCAATACTCATCCAATTGGCAACGGGTAACCTGACGTTCCGCAGCTATTCCGTCTGCCGCGTTGTAACAGTGGGGGGGGGAGGATGAGCATAATTGAGACACATGAAAGAGCGTGGGGTTAAAAAGGGTCAGGGGGAAGATGGAGTGGGGAAGGGCCAGGACGTGGATAATGATAACCTAAAGCTGGGAGGAGTACGAGGAGGGGGAGGAGAAGGACGAGGAGGAGGCCAGAATGCCACAGGTCACACTAAAGTTTGCTTAGCGTAAGAAAAAAGGAGGAGCAATGAGGAGAAATTAGAGGACGAATGAGGAGGAGGATGGTTGTGGTGACGATGGGGGAAAGTAGGAGTAGGGGAGAGGGATGTCCAGTGATGGGGGGTCGGAGGGGACGAGGAGGAGAAGGAGGAGGAGGAGGAGGAATGGGGAGGTGGAGGAAGATGAGGAGGGAGGTACCCACAGATCGACACCTACATGGGAGCTATCCAGTGGCTGCGTGGCGTTGGCGTGGCAATCGCATGAGGCAGGTTGTCGGACGCCCGTTCGTCCTCCTTCTCCTTATCATGTTGCTCGACATTCCAGGTGAAGGCGTCCTGTTGGATAGTTCGGCACCGGTGGTGGTTTTCAAAGTTGACGTCGCACATGGTGCTTCCAGCTGGTGTGACTCCCATACAACCCAAAGGTCTCGGTGCTTGTCCTAGATTGACTGCGATGGTATTTCCACTCCAGAGGGGGCTCTCACAACATGACAAACAGGAATGCCAGCCGTATATCGGCATGCTTGTTTCCAGTTCAACCTTGTAGACTTGCACTGCGAGTGTTGAGGCCCAGTGATTTCGATTTGTCTCCAGCGGTCGGGCGGAAGTAACTACGCCTACCATAGCAAGTTCGCATGACTTTAATGAGATATTTCCAGACGCCTGCGGCGAGTCCCGCCACCGTGCCATCCCAGCATTCTGGGTGGTGACTCTTCGGGGGGGGGCACGTGAGGGCGTCACGCGTGACACCTCTTATCTCCATGTTCGGGGGAATTGTGATGAGGACGACGATGATGACGACGATGATGGGGGTGATGATGATGATGATGATGATGATCATCATCATCATCAATATCATGATCATGGTCTTGACCATGGCATTGATGATGATGATGGTGTTGGCGATGGTGATTGTGATGGGGATGGTGACGATGATGTTGATGATTGTGATAATCGTGATGACGATCATGCGCATGCTGCTGCTGATGATGCCGACATTGGTGATGATGATGATGTTGATGCCGATTGTGATGATGGTGGTGATGGTGATTAGTTATTGTTGTGGATATTATCGTTGATGTTGATGACGATGATGATGATACTGATACGGATGAGGATGATGATGCTGATGATGATGACGATGCTGATGATGTTGATGATGATGCGGATGATGATGAGGCTGCTGATGATGACGATGATCCTGCTGATGCTTATGATGATGGTGATGATGATGATGATGATGATGATGATGATAATGATGATGATGATGATGATGAGGGCGATAATGACACTGATTGTTTATTGTGGTGATGGTGATGCGGATGACGACGATGACGATGACGTTGATTATAATCATGTTGTTGTTGGTGCTATTGCTGTTGGTGGTGACGCTGATGATGACGACGATGAAGCTCGTTTGGACCGCCTTGGAGCTGTCTTGGAGGTCTCTAGTGGCCCTTTGGTGCCTTGATAGGGCCGCCTTAGGACATCTTGGGCCGTCTTCGAGGCATCTTGGCCCTTCTGGGATGCTCGGAACGCATACCCCTTGTTTTTTTAATTCAGTTTTTTTGTTTTGTTGTTTTTTTTCTTGAAATTCTTGACGCTTCGCGTATCCCCACCAATCGCAGGCGCATGGGGCTTCTCCCTGAGTGCACTGACCACCCTACACGGGAAATTCGAGGATGCCATCAAACACATCAGCATGCTCGCCACGTACGCACACCACCATGGGGTCGCAGTCGAACACGGGTGCCCAAGGACTTGGGCCGGCATGCTGAGAAGCAGGTTCCCCTTGGAGGCCCCTATGAGGGTGCTGGAGGCGTTAGTCCAACCGGCCGTGATCAGTTCCTTGGGCAAGAGCAAGTGCTCCATTTGCACCCTCCACAAAGAGCTCAGCGGGTCAGAGGAAGGTCTCGGATGCCCAGGCGCCATGACAGACCTGGAGTGCATCGGAGGAGGCATTGCCATGTCCAACAGGAGGTTCGACGAAGACTCCCCCGCTCCCCCGGCCCCTGGAACTCTACTCATCCCGCCAAGGGTGACCGACGACAGGTTCGGCGTCGATCTTGAGAACGGCCGCTTCGACTGCGACGGGGACGACTGCCACAAAAGAGGACTCAAGTCCACGACCGGCACCTGGGAAGACGATGGCGCAAGAGACCTCCTAGCACGGAACCGCTCTCAGGCTTACTTGCAAGGCACGAGCTGCGCTCTGCGAGCAATGCTGGATCAGATCCGTGGAAAAAAAAGGTATCGAGACACCCCTCGCCCCGTGCGATTGCGGCAATAAAAGGTCACCACCGATGCGTCTGCAGTACTACAGGGGCATAATGGAGGAACCACGTCGCGAAAAAAAATCCCGCACACTCCCTTCCTTGGCTCGGCTCCCGATCGGATATGGGCGTCCAGATACGGCCCCGACCCCTACCAGCCTGAGCGACCTCGTTACGAAAGCCCCCCCAGCTCACAGCCCGCGTGCAACCGGCACGACCCTACCTGCTCACAAGCTGACAGATGGGAGGTTTGGGCTCGAGTCACACTTCACCGGCACCTACTCAGCCCAGTGCGACACCTGCCCAGCGGGATCACCCTTGTTGGAGTGGGCAGTGACCCGCCCAGCGCTAGGCTGCTTTTTGTGGAACCCGGAGCCAGAAACACCTGCCGACGACGTGACCGCTCTACCGCCTTGGGACCTCATGCCCGCCCTTTGGACCCAGCGGCGGTGGAACGCTGGTTGGGCTTGCAGGCGGTGCCTCATCCACATCTGGAACGTGGCCCCAGGCGCGCTCGACTACACTCTCGACCAGCAGTCCTCACGCGTATACCCCACGGCACCAGCCAAGCGGGAAGCGGCAGCGGAGGTGATAGTTGAGCGCCACGACATCGCCCTTCTACCTCACCCCGGACTGCGCCAACGCCGCAGCCCCAGATGTCCACGCAAAGCCAGCCACCCCAACCGGAGAGCCGCCCCTCCCTACCAGCGCCGGCCAGCCTGACCCCGATGGCGAGAGCAGCGGGCAAGACGCCGCCGCTCGGGACATCAAGTCCCTGTTCCCTTATATGTTCCCGCCGACGGGGCCCGCCCTACCAGCCCACTCTACCTCTGGGCTCACGGGGCAGGATTCGCATGGCGCCCTACGCTAATTGGTCAAATTTCTGCTAGAGTGGAACCCCCACCGTTTACGGGAAATGGATGGAGTACGTGGAGGAATACGGCGACGGGATACCGGGCGATAAGACCAACGAGGAATCTGGGCCCCCCAATGTCTACGCCACTTCCTGGTCAACATTTATGGGGATACGATCCCCGACAATTGCCCCCCTTTTGGTATCCCATGGGACAGCCAGCGGGCTGCTGCGGCACGGGCGGCGTCCCACCTAACGAGGGCAAGCGCGATGCATGCGAGCAAGTGGCAGGCGTACGCAGCCAACCTTGCCGAGCTACGAGGCGATTGTCCTCTTCGGCACAGGCTCAGCACCCTACTGCAATACCTCGTGAAGATGGACCCCGCGACCCTCGCCGACGGCGCCATCAAAGAACTGGCCAACTTAGGCCCAGTTCAGACTGCCGCGGATTACGCAACCACGGCCAACTCTCCAGCGGCATATTGGCTGAACAGGCCCGGCGAGGCAGCAGACGCCCCCCATCGGACAGCCAGGCTCGTGAGCAAGAGGCAACTCCAGGCCGCCCCCCCAGGGCAGATGAACAGACCCCCGGCGACGATGGGGCCAGCGACCCGCCCGCGGAAGTGCAGCGCGCGCGGGGGCAGGCAGGCAGGATCGAGGGCGAGCAGGATGTGCCCGACGCGGGGGGGCGATCCAGGAAGCGCATTGGCCACGACCAAGGACACGAGACCGATCGCGAGCCCAGAACCAGCCGTGGACGAAGACGAAGACGCAGACCTCTCCGATCCCCTAGGCGTTTTCAAGGGCGCGCCCCCAAGTGGCAAGGCCTGGGCCCCCTATTCGCAGACCGTCGATCGGGCGGCCGCCCTGTCGCTTCGAGGTGCCAAAGACAGCTCCGAAAGGATCATCCTGGGATTGCGCGGGGGCCAGGGGCGACCGCGCCCTCAACCGCGCGGCAGGGGGCCGGGGGCGCGACCGCCCCGCCTCGGAATACACTGAAGACGGGAGAGGGCGCGCCGCCAAATCACCAAGAGGTAGCCCCATGCGCACGGAGATCAGCGGGGCTCCCCGGAGGGGCAGCAGGGGTGCCCAGCCATATTACGAGAACCTTAACGACCCCATGGGTTGCGCGGCCCCATGCGCAAATGCATTATTACAGCTGCGGACGTGGAAAAGAAGGAACCCGTCCAGGACGGGATTACGCGCCTGCAAAGGACGTTGGGAGGCGCTTTCAATGGCATCTGGCATGCGTGGGTTAAACGGGCTGCCCTGAGTCAGGACCCCGAGGGGGGGCTACAAGAGAAACCCCAACCTGAACGCGCCCCAGACGTGCGCGGATTTCCTCGAGGCATGGAACAACGCCGGCCATGATGCATATCGGATGGACCGAGATCTCAGGCTCGGCGTGAAATGGGCGGCAGTTAGGGACAAACACATGAACTCCGTGCGACATGATGCCCACGCACGCGCCCCGCGCGACTACGGCAGCCGCGACAAGCCTGCCCCATGGGCAGCCGAGAGCCGAACTGTCGCGCCTGCGGCTGCACAGGGCCCCTGGGCTGGAGCCATCAGTACTGCCACCCCGAGCCAGTGGCAGGGCTGGCAAGAATGGACCTCGTGGGATCGTCGAGAAACCCCATGGACGGACTCAGACTGGAAAGGCAGGGGCAAACGATACTCCCCTAGAGGGGGCGACCGCTACTCGGACAACCGCGCCGGCTGGTGGGCTAAGAGCGACGCCAACACCCAAGGCTGACGTGTTTCCGACACGGCCTACCTCGACGTCTTTGGCAACGACCTGCCCAAGGAAACCCGCGCCCCCCCCCCCCCCCCCTCCTCGAGACACCCGTTGCCCCGAAGGGGCCCGTTTCACCTTTCTGCGCCCGGCTCGGGCCGCAATGCCCAGGGCCGCCCTCCGCTGGGGCGAAGGCCAACCCCGCATCTCACCCACGGCACGGCCTAGCTAGACAGCCCGCACTGGATAAGTGGACCACCATCTTCCTTTTCGGGCCTGACGCGGAGGGGCTTCCCCTCCAAACCCGACATCTCGCCCTCTCTGGCACGGCGGGGCCAGCCTGGCCCGCGCAGGCTGGCCTCCCGGGCTCGTAGACTTTGCTGTCCGACGACGACAGCCGGCCC